TGCCATACAATTTGTGTTTTTGTATATTTTTTTTGTGTGTGTGTGTGTGTGTGTGTGTGTGTGTGTGTGTGTGTGTGTGTGTGTGTGTGTGTGTGTCTGGCTGTTACCAAACTGTTTCATGTCTCAGTTGATGAATTATAATGGAACTTGCAGAGAGTAATTATTGGCTGTACATCTATGAATGATTTACTTTTGGATTTAAAGATGGCCACCACGGCGAATCAGCTGATTTTATTGATATTGAGCTAAAATCTGATGTGGTTGTAACAGATATACGTTCACACTGCGGACCCAAAGTGGCCCAAATCTGTATTATTTGTGACTTTGAGATATATATATAAAATTTTGGCATGAAAATTGGCAGGCAATTTAGGTTTCTTCAAAATAATGCTAGGTCTTTAATTAAGTCTTGACATCAAACACCAGAACGAAACAATAAAGAAAAGTAAATAACTAAAACATGTTGCAGATACTGCAGACAGATCATTTGTAAGTTACATAAAAACTTTTTTTCAGAATAAAGAAATAGATTTTAAGATAAAGAAGCATTTCCATAAAATTCTCAGTTCAAAGAAAAAAATAAACATAAAAAAATTCTCCTCTTTTCAACCTGGGGAGACTTTACAATATCAGGATGACAAAAGGCAGCCCTGGAGGTGTCTCATAAAAACGCTGCTGCCGTACATGATAACCTGCGACATCTGCGAGCCTGAAGGACGTTATTTCTCCCTCCTGTGTGACACAAGACTGATGTTTCCAGCTCGTGAGATAAATCACATAAGCTCCCTCTCTTTTCTTCTTCTTCCAAAGAACAATGTTGCCACTACAGGCTTCTTGTCTGATTTGTGGACTTGGCAGTTCTCGTCCAAACTGACACGATTGTAAGTTACGTGTATTTTTTTTTTGTTTGTTTTTTGTCATCAGTCTCTGTGGGACAGCTCATTGTCCATCTGGACAGAAAAAGAAAACATGGAGGATGGTTTTGATGTTTACAACATGCAGGAAGGATGAAATCCTCTCAGATCCTCTCGATTTTTTGATAAAATGGAGCTGAAACTTTGAAAGACGTGATTAGGTATTACAGTGAAATCAGAAATATTTTGCTAACAGTGACAGAGTGGTTGCTTCATCAGGCAGGATAACTTCAGTGGTTGTTTAATGTGAAGCCCGTGGGCTTCGTTTCCTGTCAGGTTAGAGCTGGTGGGCAGGAAGCTCTGTTCAGAGTTGGTTTGCATTTTTTTTATTATTTTCTTGCTGCAGGTAGAGGTTAGATTGGTTTTTCACAGCCTTGCATCACCCTCAGCATGGAATTTATGCATACATTAACTAGTGATATATCTGATTGTTTAATTTTCTGCAAGTCATAAAATCAGCGATCTACTCTTTTAATAAATAAAGAAAGAAAGAACACATTTTAACTTTGATTACTTTTTGCTTTTTTATCAGATTTCCTTTTAACACAGTTCTTTTGCACTGTTTTGCAGTTATCCTGCTGTATGTGAGTTCCTACAGAGCAATAATTTATTATCGATCATCCGAGCGCATGAAGCACAAGATGCCGGGTATGTCACCACTTCAGCACAAAGAAGACAAACACACATGCCGACTAAAACAAAACATGTGAACAAACTTTTGTTGTTTTCTGGCCTTTACGCTGAAGCTACCGGATGTACCGTAAGAGTCAGACCACTGGGTTCCCATCCCTCATCACCATCTTCTCAGCGCCTAACTACCTGGATGTTTACAATAACAAAGGTCAGCAAATCTTTTTTTTTTTTCATTTTAGATTGTCTCGTTAACATTTAAAGCACAAAATTAGGTATTAAATAGATTTACTATTGTCTACTGTTGAAAGCAAAAGCGATATTGTTTTTACCTAAACACAACAATGGCTGCAACTCACCTAATTTTAACCATTTTTTTCTGCAAATTTTTTCCATTTAAATTAAAAAACACAGATGAGAGTTTTCTTAAAACATCTTTTTACTGCTTAATGATTGGTTTGTTTTCAAATCTTTGCCATTAACTATACTCATGACAAAAAGTAAGCTTATAGCGGGCACCTGATTGGTAGCAGCTGTGGGTAGCAGAAGCTCACAGCAGTCAGCAACAAAATGAACTGCTCGGCAGAGAAGATTTGGCAAATTTTTTATGTGCGCAGCCCACATACTCATTTCTACTGCTCATCCCACAAGTGCAGGTTCCTTACAAATGTGGCTCCATTTAAAAGGGAAATTACCAGGCATTCCAACGGTATAAGATTTATTTCCAAGAAGCATTGTTACAACAAAGAAAAACCCTACCAAAGACAAATGTTCTTACTTTTTGTGCTATGTATTTTAGTCAGCTTTGCCTGTCTGTTGGTGAACTATCTTACAAACCACTGGATGAAACTCTCAGAATGTAATGATTGGATGTATGCTGTAACTGCATGAGTCAACCCAAATCAAGATGGCTGCCAAAGCCATCTGACCTCACAAAACACAAAACTATCTATAACTATTTTAAAGATATGGAGCAAAGATTTATAGTGGTATTGGCTGAACATCAACTCCAYCACATCCATTTAGCTGTACATATTGTGCAATATTTTGGCATTACTTGTTGATGGCAACCCTGTTTGTCTACTAGCAAAAGATCTCATCAACCACTTGATGGATTTTTATAAAAAAAAAAATCAATGGATGTACATCTGTAACTTGTTACATGGAAGCTCTGTGTCCGGGTCTCTGCCCTGTTCCGTGGGAGTTCCGCAGGGTAGCATACTGGGTCCATTGCTTTTCCTATTATACATAAATGACCTTCCAAAAATATTGAAGTATTCAAATATTTTAATGTATGCTGATGATACTGTTCTTTTTTTGTCTAATTTCAATATTGAATCTATTAATAGTCAGTTACAAGCAGATCTTCAGACATTTCATGGTTGGCTTCAAGACAACCTTTTGTCAATCAATGTTAAAAAACTGTGTGCATGTATTTTTCCTCACCCAGGAGACATTTCAATATAACAAGTCAACTCACTTTTTTAAACAAACCCCTTGATATTGTCACTACCTACAAATATCTTGGAATTACTTTGGATTCTCATTTGACTTATCGTGATCATGTACAAGTCTTAACCACTTAGTTGAAACAGAAATTATACATTTATTCAAAAATTAGGTCCAATCTGACATATTCTGTTTCAAATATCTATCTTCATGCCATTACACTCTCAACCATGTCGTACTGTTTACCTGTTTGGTCTCTTACAACAAATGAAATCTTAGAACCCATAGTTAGGCTCTACAACAGGGCCTACAAAATTCATAAAAAACTTCCTGGTTGGACTCATCACTGTACAGTTCTTTCATTGTCTGATGCCTTGACTTTTCAGAATTATGTTTTGTATAGTGGTATTAATTTATATCTTCAGATCTTCCAAGGTGCCAATTATGGAACTCTCTGTGCATTGCTGCCCAAATCAAATTCTGGAAGTGGTCATTCAACTAGATCTGTTACAAAAGGACAACTGATATTACCAACTTTTAAAAACTGTTACGGCCAGAGGTCTTTCTTCTATGTTTATACTAAAGCATGGAATGACATTCRTCAAAACATAAAGTCCATTTCAAAACTACAGCCCTTTAAGAAGAATATTGTCTGCCATCTGCTGGACACTTTTTGTTGTGCACATATTTAGACGTACTATTTTGCAAATGCTGCCTTTTTGAAATTTGGTATGCTTGTTTGTCTTTGTGTCTATGGTGTATAAATATGTGATTGTGATGCTGTAATTCTGAGTGTTTTATGTGCTGCAGAACAGGAACCTGCTGTAAAACAGCAYTTATGCTGAGTCAGGCTTGATTTTTAATAATCTTTTCCTGTTAAGTAAATAAATCAAATCAAATCAAATCAAATCAAATCAAATTAACTGTTGGAGTCAAACCAAAGCTTGTCAACACAGTTAATCAACATTCGTCAACACACAAATAGCTAATACTCAGTTATTTTAAAGAAACTCAGCTAAAATTTGGTATGGTAGAAGCTGGGAGTCTTTAAAACATTCAGATTATGCTGTCACAAGATCTCACAATATTGCATGAGATTGGCCATTTTAATTTTGTCCCCTCCTAGATATTTCTATTTAAAATGCTGGGAATGCGAGGCATTTGTTTTAGGTATCATATCACATAAACTTTTCAAAATATGAAAAATAAATGCTGTTTGAATGCATTTTAAAATAATAAATTGTGAAGCCTGTGGTTGTGGAAGAAAAGGTGACAGTTATGATACTGCACCTTTAAAACGTGAGTTTGACCAACACATGATACAGGATGCTGCGTCACCAAAGAACAAACTGACATTTTTTAATCTCTAAAGCGTGACAAGTGATTCCATGMGTTCCTTTCTCTTATTTGTGGAAATGTTCTGAACGAACAGACTTAACGTGTGACTTAAAGTAGCTGCGAGCAGGCAGAGGAAAGCATCAGGGAGCCCCTGTTTGTTTGTGTTCTCAGATCTGTGTCTTGGTTGCCATGGGCTATGGGAGATGGGGCGCGTGGGAGGGACTGTCAGCTTTGCTGAATATCTCCATGTGGCTTTATGCCTCTTGATATAACAGTGTCAGCAAAGCCTGGCCTCAGCTAGGCCATCTAGTGGTTACATTTGTGATATTTGCCCATCCCTCATTTTCTTATGCTGCAAAGAAAAACAAATCAAGAGGAACGCATTTAAACAGCACAAATAGGCAAAGTGGCAGTAAAGATCCTTCTCAGTGCATAATATAAAACAACATAATGTTATCTTGTCCTTACAGGATTTACCACAACAAACAACAACAAAAATTCCATCAAGCCTTTCTTTTAAACAAAATAATAATAAGCAGACTCAGCTAAAACTATTACTTGATATAAATATTTTATTTGTATAAGGTGATTTTATGTGTCAAATCTTAGGTTTTAGTTGATGAATGTATTTATTTTATTACAAAAGTGTTGTTTATTATTTTTGCAGTACACACCATGTGTTGCCAGTATTCCTGGATTTGTTTTTTTCCTCCTCTGCATACCTAAATGTTTTGTGTTAATGATTAGCAGCATCCCTGAATATTATATATCATTACATGTAATTGTCAGAAGGCTTTTTATCTTAACATAGAAATGCTTCATTTCTTTCAGTCTCACTGTTATGAACCTGTTGGTTGTTTTATTTTTTTTTTCTACTTCATTAATAAATGTACTCTTGGAAAGGATAAAATCAGACATAAAAATATTCTGCTGAACAATGTTTTTATTGTGCAGGGTGCAGTTAAAAAAATTATACTCCAGTAGTTTTTCAGCCATATGAACATGCCTGTGCACTTATGCTCATTAAACGGATGTAGTGGATTTAATTTAAAAAAAATGTTGTCAACTGGAACCACTCAACTGAGTCCAGTAAAGGAAATGCATTTAATTTACATTGACTTTAAAGTCACAGTAAAACAGTAAAAACATGGGAAAAAACATTTACTTTACATTTACTTAAAGTAAAAACATATGTAATTTATTTACTTTAAGTAAAAACAAAAACATTTATTTTACATTTACTTAAAGTGGAATCATA